TGCACATCTGGCTAAAAATTGCTATATATTATTTAATCTAATCGTTTAGGAATGGAGATTAATATATTTTGCATATAAGATTGCACAATTTTACAACTTTCGGATTTGAAGTGTAGATAAGTAACACGTGTTTTTTCTACATAATTCAGGAACTAAATTACGTTCACGCGACACTTTTACATACAATCAATCAGTTGAAAGACGTCAGTAGTGAAAATATTTATTGTAATTATTTCGTCATGACAGTATTTTTGAAAGTACAAAATCATCTTCCTTATTTACGTATCTGTGTCCATTTTTTTTTAATTTCTGCAGATTTACAGAAAGAAATCTTGTGTATCTGAAAATTTTGTTGCGATAAAAGTAAACCCTGATCATTAAGCTCTGATGTCTATTTCATTAAAATAAACATTTTACATATATCTACTGCCAACAAAATTTCAGATTTATTAGATTTTGCTGTAACAAAAGTGATATCTGACATCCAAAGTGCAATAGAGTCAAACTTCGATTTAACATCAGATCACAGTACAATAATAATAACTTAAGTACACACATAATACGGAGAACACCACCACCCAAACTCACAACTAAAGAAACAAACTGAGATGTTTTCCAAAATTCTGTAAATACACAGATTCGACTAGATATTAGGATAAAATAAAACCAAGCTGTAGAGAAAGCAGTAGACTATTTAACAACAGTTTTACAAACAACAGGATGGGAAGTAACACCACAGCGCCAAAGAAGTGTGCAAGAAAACCATAATATCCCCTCCACATTAGAGAACTGGTAGCAGAAAAAAGTAGAGCTCGACGCATATGGCAACAAACGAGAAAATCACTAAATAAAACGTACCATAAACTCATACTCGTAGCATATGTCATAAACTAAGTAGAGCATTACATGAAGAAAAAAACGACTGTTTCTAGTTTTATGTTTCAAACCTCTCACATAAAGACCACTCTACATGAAAAGCTACAAAAAATGTTAAACGACCGATAATAACAAATTCACCTTAAAAAAACAGATATGACCTAGGCCTTACAAACGCAAAAAAAACAACAGTATTCGCAGAGCATCTTGCAACTGTATTCGCAGCACCAGATACTAATAGCGATGAAGATGATGATATAAAAATGTACCTCGAAACTTCATGTCAACTAGTTATTCCTCTGACAACATTTACTCCGACAGAGGTTCGACAACAAATAATAATGCTAAATCCTAAGAAAGCTCCTGGCTATGACTTGATAACAAGAGAATTACTTTAGAAGCTACCGAGAAAAAGCAGTGGTATTATTAACAATAATATACAACAGCATACTACGTCTTCTATACTTTCAATACAATGGAAATTTGCTCAAGATACTACGATGAAAACCTGGTAAGCCGTAACCAAGCAAATTATATCCCTACAAGCCTACTAATAGAGAAAAATGGCCTTCGAGAAAAACGCAATATTCCGATTTTTAAGGCTTAAAATAACTTTATTATACAAGTAAAAATAATATTTTTGAATTCACCAAGAACCTAAATTCAAGTTCAAACCTTGTTATACCATTTCCTGAAAAGTATTTTGGGTCTATTTCGTTTTAAAATATTGTTTTTTAATTGTTAATGAAGCGCATGACTGGACGGGCGCTCGGGCTGTGGCCTGTATAAGAAAGAGAAACAAGATCTAGGGCACAATTTTTTTTCTGGTCAAATTTTCTTTAAACAACTAAGATCCCGCCCTGCCAACTCAGATCCCGCGATTGATTATCAATTAAAAAAGAATGCTTTTTACTGCATTAAATGTATGCTGCATTTATGCAATGCACTAAGGGTGTTATTAGGATAATTACCTGAAGAGCAACATAATCAAGCCAGAGGGCATCTGGTCCGTGGGATAGATGTTGTTCAATGATCGTTATCATCTGGTAACTACTATATATCACATATTACTATATTACTGTATAATACCAGTGGTACATACAAGATTTTCTCCTAGTATCACTGGTATTATTATACAGTAATATAGTAATAGAGTAGATAGTAATAAAGTAATATAGTAATGCAGTAGAACCCGCACAAGACGCAGTTGCTAAATGGGAAGAAATAAAAAGAGCTGTTGAAATGACAAACAAGACACTTCTGTTACAGGAGCGCGTAAAGAAGAAAGAATGGATGACGGATGAAATCCTTGATATGATGGAAGAAAGAAGACAACACAAATGCAAAAATCAAGTGAAGTATCAAGAAACAAGTCACAATATAAAAACAAAGATAAAGGAAGCGAAGGAACGCTGGCTGAAGGAGAAATGCGATGAAATCGAAGAGTGCGACAGAAGATATGACTACCACAACATGCACAAAAAGATCAAAGAATTAACAACTAAAAAGAAAACCAATAATCCCCACCCGACACTAATAGACGCAGACGGTAACCTTATATCAGACGACTTGAAGCTCATTGACACATGGAAAGATTACGTAGAACGACTTTTTAACGATAAACGCAGAGCGACAGTGGACCAAGATGACGACATGACTGGACCCGAAATACTAAGGTCTGAAGTGGAAAAAGCCATTTCATCGCTAAAAAAACGACAAAACACCAGGTCCCGACAACATACAGGGCGAGATCATAAAACTCCTATGCGAAACGGATGACCACTTCCTCGATTTTCTGACAGGCCTTTTTAACACCTTTTACGACAAAGGGGAGATTCCGGAGGAATGGCTTCGATCGACCTTTGTAGCCATACCTAAAACACCAAGTGCAAAACACTGTGATCAACACCGCTTAATAAGCTTGATAAATCACATTACCAAAGTTTTCACCAAAATCATACACAATAGAATATATAACAAATGCGAAGCAAATATATCGGAGTCACAGTTCGGATTCCGAAGCGCATTGGGCACAAGAGAGGCGATCTTCAGTCTGCAAGTTTTAATTCAAAGATGCAGAGACATGCACAAGGACGTCCACTTGTGCTTCATCGACTTCTCCAAGGCGTTTGACAAGGTCAAACATGATAAACTCATGGAAATGCTCAGGAAGATGCATATTGATGGCAAGGATCTGCGCATAATAACCAGTCTCTATTGGAACCAAAGTGCTGAGATAAAGATGGGCAACTTACACAGTGGGAAGATAGATATTAAAAAGGGTGTACGACAGGGATGCGTCCTCTCGCCGCTCCTGTTCAATATATACTCTGAACAAATCTTCAGAGAAGCACTGGGAGAAGTTTCGGAGGGTATCAAAGTAAACGGAGAGGTAATCAATAATATTAGATATGCTGACGACACAGTTATTATCGCAAATGACTGCAACGAGCTTCAAAGACTCATGCAAAGCATACACACAGCAAGTCAAGAATATGGTTTAGAACTCAATACAACCAAAACTAAATGCATGCTCATCAGCAGAACACAACAACCTCCGATGCAATTGACATTAAACAACCGAAAAATAGAACAAGTGGAGACATACACATACCTTGGAACCACAGTCAACACAAAATGGGACCAGTCAACAGAAATAAGATCACGAATTGAAAAAGCGCGAAACGCGTTCAACAATATGAAAAAGTGGTTCACAAGCAAAATCTCAATGGAACTAAAATTAAGACTGGTCAAGTGTTATGTCTTCCCGGTCTTGTTCTATGGAGCAGAGGCATGGACCACAACGGAAGCCACCCTGAAGAAACTAGAATCCTTTGAGCTGTGGATATATCGCCGTATTCTTCGGATATCCTGGACAGACCACATCACTAACGTGGAAGTAATGCAGAGAATAGGCAAAAGCAAAGAAATAATCTTCACCGTAAAGAAACGGAAGCTTGAGTACTTCGGACATGTCATGAGGCATACTAAGTACCGGCTGCTACAGTTAATAGTCCAAGGAAGAATCGACAGTAGGAGGGGACCGGGAAGAAGACGACACTCATGGATGCATAACCTGCGACAATGGTTCGGACTAACATCGACCGAACTGTTCAGAGGTGCCGTAAACAAAGTCAAAATAGCCTTGTTAATAGCCAACGTCCGAAACGGATAGGGCAAAGGAAGAAGAAGAAGAAGAAGATGATAACGCTCATTGAACAACATCCGTCCCACGGACCAGATGCCCTCTGGCTTGATTATGTTGCTCTTTGGGTAATTATCCTACTAACACCCTTGGTGCATTGCATAAATGCAGCATGCATTTAAATGCAGTAAAAAAGCATTCTTTTTTTAATTGAATATTGAATCGCGGTGATCGAGTTAGCAGGGCGGGATCTTAGTTGTTCAAAGAAAAATTTAGAAAACCAGAAAAAATTGTGCCCTAGACCTTGTTTCTCTCTCTTATAACAGGCCACAGCCGAGCGCCCGTCCAGTCATGCGCTTCATTAACAATTAAAAAACAATATTTTAAAAGGAAATAGACCCAAAATACATTTCCAGGAAATGAGTTAGAACAAGGTTTGAGCTTGGATTTTATGTTCTTGGTGAATTCAAAAATATTACTTTATTATACTTGTATAATAAAGTGTCTTTAAGCCTTAAACCGGAATATTGCGTTTTTCTCGAAAACGATAAACGAAGTTTACAAAAAAATGATAGGAGACTTTTTTTGTTAAGAACGATCCAATAAATTAAAAATAAAAATTTTCCGGTCCAAAAAAATTAATTGGTAAAATTTGTTCCAAAAATATTGTTTAAAAAAATTTGTACAACTTTTCGCATGGACCTCTTAAACCTTATTTTGGGGTATCTCATGACAGTGATTATGCAAAAACAATCTGATGGGAATATTTTTCGAAACGAACCCGAGCTCGTCGTCTTGTCTGTAGTGTAAATAAAGCCTAGAAATACTATTAAAATTAAAAACATGGATCTTATCTAGGTCAGATTTCGGATAATTATTCTGCGATCAAAATTAAAAACTTAAAGGTCAAGTACTGATGCATTTTTGTGCATTGATATAAATACAAATAAACTAGACTCAGCAATCATTATCGACCGTCATGTTCCGTCAGGTTCAGCTCTTAGTCCTTCTATTTGCGACAGCGCTTGCTGCGCCAGATCTAACTGAATTAGATCTAACTTCAACCAACGAATTGGTAGCTGTCGTTCAGGTTCGTATAATAACAGGTCTTTTGAATCCTATCGTTACAAAATAGTTACAGTTCTAAGTTTAGTTATTCTTGTTTAAATGAAAACAATTCAATAATACGTTTTAGAAAGATTTTCCGTTTGCTTAAATCATGAAGCTTAGTTAAGCAGTGATGTCTCTAGCTGAGCGTAGTCTATTTTTTTCTCTTCTCTGTTCTCTTTCCAACCTCCTTTCCCCACCCCCCCCCCTTCCCCCTCCCCCTCCCCCCCCTCGCCCCTCCCTCCCCTCCCCCTCCCCCCTTCCCCTCTCCCCCTCCCCCCCCTCCCCCCCCTCTCCTCCCATCCCCTCTCCACTCCTCCCCCTTCTCCCCCTCCCCCTCTCCCCCCCTCCCTCCCCCCTCCCCCCCCTCCCCTCTCCCCCCCCCCCCCCCCCCCCTTCCCACTCCCCCCCCCCCCCTACTCCCTCCCTCCCTCCCCCCCCTCCCCTCTATCTCCCCCTCCCCTCCCCCCCCCCTCCCCCCTCCCCCCTCACCTCTCTCCCCCCCTCCTTCCCTCCTCTCCCTCCCCCCTCCCCCCCCTCTCCCTCCCCTCCTCCCTCGCCCCCTCCTCTCTCCCCCCCCTTCCCCTCTCCGCGTCTCCCCCCCCCCTCCCCTCTCCCCCTCCTCCCCACCTCCCCTCCTCCCCCCCTCCCATCCTCCCCTCCCCCCCCCCCCCCACCACTCCTCCCCCCCCTCCCCCCCCCCCTCCTTCCTCCCCTCCCCCCCTCTCCCTCCCCCCCCTCTCCCCCCCCTTCCTCTTTCTTCCACCTCCCTCTTCTTTTTCTTTTCTCTGTTTTGTTTTTTTTATATATTTTTAAAGCAGTTTCTATTATTTGTGAGAAGTAAAACCTAGTTCCATTGGTCTATATGCTTCATTACATAATTTAATCTACTAATGAAAATTATGTTCGCCCTTAACTTTGTTTTAGAGTTTCAAATAAATCTTTATTGTCATTAGATCCAAATTGTAATATAATACCAATAAAAGCTAAATACTGTAAAATAAAATTTGGATTTATAGAAATATATATCCAAGTAGTTCTTTCTAAAGGTGTAGCGTTGTCTTTTTGCATGTTTGCAATATATCTATTTATGGGTAAAAGAAAATAACTCTATTTCATCTATTTTTATTTGATTGATATATACTAATATCTAATTACTGATTTAAACTCATTTCTTATTAATTTAATCCCAAACATGTTTTTTTCAATCATTAAGAGTTTATTAAATTTAGATTTCGCATATTTAAAATATTTACATCACAACTCTTACAACGCTGGCATTGCACAAAAGTAGACGGCACATTTATATAAATGTAACTGCTCAGTGCATTCAGAGAAAATTAAGCTCTTCCACATTTTTTTCAAACTTTGTCACAGCGCACCCAGAACTCATGTCTCTTCAATATTTTGGGTTAGTGTTCTAAATTTGCATCTATTTATCATTCGATTATTTAGATGACATTCATTGTTGTATGGCTTAATTTAATAAAACCTGCAAAAATAAACAACTTGCTTTGAAATTATGGAAATTTGGCGGTAAAATACTGAACACCTAAAATTGTAACGAAATAAAATTTTTGTCTAATTAATGATAATTTTTTTTTAGTTATTTAGACATGGACACAGGACTCCTACGGACTTTTACGAAAATGATCAGTATTCGGATTTATCAAAATATTGGAGTGGCCTTGACTTAGGACAGTTAACAAATGTAAGCTATAATTAGATAATTTATGTTTAAATTGCCAATTTAATTAAAGTGTATGTAGGTTCTGTTGGATATAGTTAGTGTTATGTATATAAATATATATATATAATATATATATATAAATATAATATATATACAGGGTGGTGAATCGTCAAACGGGCCATAGGAAACTCAATGAGAAATTCTAAATTGTTGAATTCCTGCTTCCCTAATTATTTTACACCAAAAGTCATGGGAAACTATTTGTAGAGGACTCAAATATGTATCGAAAACAATTGTTAAAATTGTTCTACGACTTAAACGTATTCCAAAATTTTGCTAAAATATAATACATTTTTCAGGCCACCCCTAAAAGTCAGGCCAGACGCCGTGAAAAGAATGTGTATTACGTGTTGCGTTTTGTCATATTGACGTTTCTAATATTTGACAATATTTAAATCAACTATATTATATTTTTATCTATGATTTAAATGGCCAAAATTTTGTGATTTATTGTTTAAAAGAAAAATTAAGTTGATTAAAAAATGTACTCAGTTAAGGAGAAAAGAGCAATAATAAAAATGTTTTATTCATGTTTTATTATAACATTTGTTATAGTTTTATGTTTAGAAATTATCGTATATTATTATTAGGAATAAAGATCACAGTAACAGTATATTGGAATTCATTGAATTGTTGTATAACTTAACTTAACATGGAATTAAATTTTAGTGTATTAGAATATCTTACGTTAAATAAAGATCCGGTAGTGACAGGAAAAGGTTCGCGCTATTGCCTGAATACAACATTATGCGATTTTTCGTCAACTGAGTACATTTCATTATATTGATCGATTTGTCAAACAATATAATTTATTGTTCACAAAGTAATATTGTTCAGTATAGTAGTATTAGTAAAATCATTGTTTATAATTTAATCATAAAATAAAAAAAATTGACAATTCAAATTGTCAAACATCTGACATAATATGATAAAACACAAACGTTATAATATATTCTTGTATTACGTGTGGCCTAACTTTTAGGGGTGGTCTGAAAAATCTATTATATTTTTGCAAAATTTTGAAGTACATTTGATTCGTAGAACGGTTTTAACATTTGTTTTTAATTTAGAATTTAGTCCTCTACAAATAGTTTTTTTATGACTTTTGATCTAAAATAATTAGGGAAGCAGCAATTCAACAATTTAAAATTTCCCATTGAGTTTCCTATGGCCCGTTTGACGATTCACCACCCGGTATATATATATATATATATATATATATATATATATATATAATATATATATATATATATATATATATATATATATATATAGGTATATGGGACCTTGTAGATTGTCCACAAGAATCTTTATTTAGGATTTTTATTTAGCTGTAATATTTTTTGAGTTTTTTATGAAAAGAGATGTATTTAGAACAAATATTTGAGATATTTATTTTTCACTTCTTTATTTTATTTTAGATTGGAAAACAACAGCACTATGAGCTAGGGCAATTTACTAGGAAACGATATGGTAAATGGCTGCCACAGAAATATGATAAAAATGATTTCTATGCCCAGACCACAGATGTCGATCGAACACACATGTCAGGGCAAATAAATCTTTACGGGCTTTATCCAGCCAAAAAAGATCAGTTATGGAGGCTGTTCACTGATTGGCAGCCCATTCCACTACATCCGGGAGATTCTAATATTTGGGAAATATTTCCCAACTGTGCGGCTTATATGAAAGAATACGCCGAAGTTCTTGCTTCTGATTTGTATGCAACAATAGACAAAGAGTATGCAGATGTGTATTCATATTTATCACAGTATTCAGGTGAAAATATTACAACCCTATCAGAAGCAAATTCCGTGTTTGATTGTTTTAAAAGTGAATCTACTGCTGGTCTTCGTCTTCCATGGTGGGCGTCAAAAATATATCCAGAACCATTAACACAACTCATGGGATATTTCTTTCACGCAATGTCTTACACAACCAAACAACAGCGATATTGTAAGTAGATTTTTAAACGAATCAACTGTAATTTAGATTAGCTTACATTTTAAAAACGTTTTGAGCATCTTCAATCTTTTGTATTGTAGTTATATATAAAAATTACCTAAATAAAATATAATTTTATTTTCTGATTACAGATTCTGGAACTCTGCTTAATTCCATTTTAAACTACTTCGACGACAAAATAAATGGTTCAGTATCCCAACAGTTCAAAATGTACAGCGGACACGACACAAATATTGCAGCTGTGTTGAGTGCTCTTGATGCTTTTAATCCACCCTATCCTCCAGAGTACGCAAGCAGTGTGTATTTTGAATTAAGAAACTATTCAGGGCACTATTTTGTAAATGTGTGGAGCAAAAACGGATCCAACTTAAAGAAGATTTCAATAAGGGGATGTGCTTTGGATTGTCCTTTAGATGAAGTTAGACAAAGATTGAATGAGATAGTCCTAGATGTTGCTACTAGAACCGAAGAGTGCAATGCCAAAACGACATTCAAAACGGTTGCTGCTGAAAATATGTACAATAAGCTTATTAAAATTGGTGAAATTGAACGTCTTAAAAGAACATTTTAAAATAAATTAATTAAATATGGTCTAATTACACTGTAAACATAAACAGTTGTTGTTTAAATAAAAGCATATTAAATTTTCCCTATAATTTTTTTACTTATAATCTAATGAATGAAGCTGCACATGTCGAAAAGGCCTAAGCTGTACATACTCCAGTCGTCAGAGACGAAAATGCCCCTGAACCCCTTAAAAATACAAACAAGTATCATTATCATCATCATCCAGCCTCAAGAGTCCACTGCTGAACATAGGCCTCTTCCTCATGTTTTAACCCCGTCTATCTACGCCGCTCTTATCCAGTTTTTATTGAGTCTTCTTAAATCGTCGGTCCATTTGGTAGGAGGTCGACCGACGCTTCTCTTGTCTTCCCTTGGCCTCCATTCCAATAACCTCTTTGTCCATCTCCATCTGTCATTCTGGCTATGTGTCCTGCCATCTCCATTTTAGTCTGGCTATCTTCTCGATGATGTCAGTTACTCCGGTTCTTCTCCTGATGTCTTCGTTGGTTATTCTGTCTCGCAGAGTTATTCCTAACATGGACCGCTTCATTCTTCTCTGCGTGACTCTCAGTTTGGTAGCTGCTGCTTTTGTTAAGGTAAGTGTTTCTGCTCCGTACGTCAAGACTGGGAGGACGCACTGATCAAATACCTTTCTCTTTAGGCATGTGGGCAGCTCACTTTTAAAAGTTTCTCTCAGTTTTCCAAATGCTGCCCACCCAAGGCCGATTCTTCCCTTTAGTTCATGAGTTTGGTTCCTCAATATAATTCTTCCCAGTATTATATCATCTACGAGTTCTATTTCTTTCCCACCAATACTGATGTTCTGGTTGGGTACCAAATTGGTCATGATTTTTGTTTTCGAGATATTTATATTTAAACCTACATTTTCTGTAGCCACAACGAGTTCCTGTACCATCTCTCTTGCCATACCTAGATCTTCAGCTATTATAAGTATATCATCGGCGAAACGTAAGTTGTTTAGATATTCTCCATCTATTTTTATTCCCTTTGTCATCCAATCCAATTTCTTAAAAGCATGTTCTAGCACCGTATTAAAAAGTTTAGGTGACATTGGGTCTCCTTGTCTAACCCCCGTTCTATTTTATGCGATTACTGTTAGTATGTAATCTGACAGTGGTTGTTGCCTGCAGGTATATTTTGTATAATAATTTAGTATATCTATAATCTAGCCTGCATTCTTTAAGCGCCTGTAATATTTTGCTTAGCTCAACTGTGTCAAAGGCTTTGTGAAAATCGATAAATATTAGAACTAGAGGTTTATTGTATTCCACTGCTTTCTCTATTAGGGTTTTTATATTTTGTAGATGGTCATTTGTTCCGTTACTTTTTCGGAATCCTGCCTGTTCCCTTGGTTGATAAGTCTCTAATTTTCTTTCCATTCTCTTAACTAGTATTCGCGTAAACAACTTATATATATGACTGAGGAGGCTAATCGGTCTGTAATTCTCTAAATTTGCTTTGTCTCCTGCTTTGTGTAATAGTATCATAGTAGCGTTGTTCCAGTCTGTTGGAATATTGGCGCTGTGAAGGCAGATATTGAAAAGTTGTTTAATTTTTTCAAGTAATACATCCCTCCAATTTTTAGTGCTTCTGATACTATTCCATCTTCACCGGGGTTCGATTATTTTTCATTTTCTTCAGGGCTTCTCTGATTTCTGATTTTGTTATATTGGGCATTAAATCTGATCCTTGGTTTAATACCCCAGTTTTTAGTGTAATTGGAGGTTCCGTATTGTTATCTTTTTTCTTGATCTATATAACTCTGTGTAGAACTCTTCGACTATTCTTAATATTTCATCTCTGTTCGTTGTTTCTTCTCCAGTTCTGTTTCTCAGTTTGTTAATTTCTATTTTCCCTTTTGTACGCTCCTCTTCAAAACTTTCATGTTCTTATTTTGCTCTATTGCCTGTTTTGTTTTTTCTACATTGTAGTTTCTTATGTCTTTTCTTATTGCCTTTGTGATCGTCTTATTTATTTGATTTATCGCTTTTTTGCTTGTAGTGTTATCTCCTTTCATTTGTCGCCTTAGTTCTACAAGGGTTTTCGTGGGTTGACTTAGTTTCTCATCTTTTTTGCTTGTCGGACAATATTTAGTTAGAGCCTGTTGCATTTTGTTGACTATTTGTTTGTTCAATATATTGATGTCTGCTGTTGTTGTATCTTTTAATGAATTACCAATATATTTTTCGAACTCCTGAATGTTAGTTGGTTTTGTCCATTTCTTTGGTTGTTTCTTATTTGTCATTTTGAGTCTTTCTTTTTCGGTTAATTTCGCTTTCTTAACTGAAAATCTGATTTTCTCCGAGGCGCCAATTTTGCATGTGTTGCTTGGTTGCTCACAAACACATGCCCGGTAGCCCATTTGACACTTGTTGGCTCGAAACCAACTGAGCGCCGATCGCTAAGCATATCTAACTAATTCGATATAATTCATGATGGTGAATTACAGGAATAAGGTGATAAGCTTAACGAGGTGGTTCTCCTTTGCGTGCCTTATCGCAGTGTCACGGTCGGTTGGATCATTATGTGATATTTGTCCGTGAGTATCTGCCATCAAGCCAACAGTAGAAATCATTCCGAATTAGCCCTAATGAAGTAATGTCATAGCTGCCATTTTTCTATCAGCCAGTTGGACGCGCCGTCTCGGGATAGAGGAGTCCCCCGCCCGTCCGTTTTCCGCGCGAAGTACAGAAGAGTCCCTACTTAATTTAGAACTGCACCTCCACGCAAGCTGGGACGGACACGAGCTACAAGCTACTAAATACCTGGGTAAAAACCCTTTAGCAGGTATAAAATTTACTATGTCTTACTACTTAATTTATTTCTACTTTATTACTACTATTAAATTACTATTAAATTTTGTACCATCTAAAGGATTTTTACCTAGGAGTTTAGTGGCTTAACTCATGTGCTCCGAGTAACAATACTCTGATGATGGGCTTTTTAGTCCAAAAACGTACTGTGGTATAACCCAAAAGGAATTTTATTTTCCTTGTGGACCAGTCTGGAATAGCTTCTGTTCAATATAGTACTATGCTGAATGCCATGTTGTAAATATGAAAACTATATTTAGTAAACTATTGCAAATTATAGCACGATTATATAGACCTGAACCTATTATCAATATTTGTGGAAAATTGTAGACAGACCAAGACCTAGATGGAAAGATGGTGAAAATGAGATGGATATTAAGATTGGAGCAACAAATTGTCACTTACAACATATGGGAATGGACGGAAAGTTCTGGCGAAATTGTCAAGGGAAAGTCAAAGCTCGACTAGCTGTAGTATCATTAATGATGATGGTATATAAATATCAGAAATTAAAAATAATCAAAAGCTAAATAAGCTTTGGTTATTTTAAGTGATATTCTAAGAGTTTTATACATTTATGTATGTAATAGACTTAAAACTGTTATATTATCATAAGTTGTATAATTTCTTAGCTTTGTTTTATTTATTGATGAATGCAATCTTTATTAGGCTACGTTCAGTTGCAAAGTTATTTAAACTAATTAAATATCTAAAGATAACCGTCTTGAGTGTAATTCAAGTGGACTATATACTAGTTCAGGTATTTTGATACATTGTATACTTATTGTATTTAGATAATTGCGCAATAATAATAATTTATCTACTATAAGTTATAAAAGTCAGTTATAAAAAAATTAATTTAATTTATGATTGCATGTACAAAGTTCAAACTAAGAATGAAATACAAAATATGGTAAAAATGCTTAAAAATTTTTGTTTATTTCCGAAATACAGTGATAAATAAAAAATAAAAAAAATATTCTTGACTATATTTTTTAATATAGGTATAATTTTTCCTAATTTTGTGAATATTTTTTGTGTCATAATATACTAGAGTTCGTAATAAAATGTGTGAATTTTAGGTTAACACACGCATAATGTTTGGATAAGCGACCGATTTTTTCTAAATACTAAATTCTTCCCATTTTTTTTAAAAGAAAATTATGTATCTTGCTAGACGTCAGTTAAATAGCCAAGCGGACCAGATAGTAAATCGCATTCACGTCACTGTGAACTATCTTGTGGACTGATGGTTCAAACACTGGTCACACAACAAATCTAAATGTTAAAAAACTTTAATATTAATCAAAAACTTGGTGTTATTCTTGTATCTTTAATAACACATTAAAATTAAAAATTAAAATTATTTACAGTTGTTTAGAACGAATAGTTTTAGCTGTTTTCAGATCTTCTTCAGTGAAGTTAGAACTACTTATGTATGTTATGTATGTACTTATGATATTATGTTTATCTAAAAAGATACAGATTTTTCTAACCTTTTTTCCTGGTTTTGTTTGAACCCAGGTAAGTAAATTTTTCAGCGGGGAAATCCTTCGCCTTCCTGGTCCTTGTTTTCCTACTACTTTTCTTTGTAGAATTAATTGCAGCAACCCATATATTTCGTATTCCTCATAAAGTGACAGAGGTATTTGATTTTGGCTGCTTTTATTATGGTTAACAAGTCTCTTCTTTTTTGCATTCGTAATAAAACGTTCTGGTTAGTACGGTATAAGATATCTTTAGGATAAACGTGGTCGGTATAGGATATAAAAAAAAATCCACAAGGAAAACAATTCCTGTAGCTGGCTGTATAACCACGTATCACAAAAAAGAGGTTAGTCTTCGTAAGTGGGTATATTTATTTAAAAACCCTTAAAATGGGTTTATTTAAAAACCTATCATCAGGTTTAAGATCGCTAGGTTAAAATGCCTGAGCCACCAAAATACATAGGTAAAAACCCTTTAAATTGCATATAGTTATAAAAGATTATACATCTTGTTGTTAAAAAACTGTGATGTTCACTATTAAATTAAATATGACTTCAGATAACATACATTGTAAAATTGAGTTCCAGAGCCGGGGAGAAAACCTCTAAGCACGAAAAACAGCTGGAAACTCAGTTTCTTACGCACTTACGAAGACTAACCTTTTTTTTTGGTATAGGATATCTTCAGGATTGGATTATAAAGCCACA